GATTGAAATTAAAAATTGATTAACAAAATAAATAACTTTAATGAATGTTTGGTACCAACTGCATAATGACCTTATCAATGACCCTGTCTCTAAAAGCTTTATAAAAGATTGATCAGCCTGGCTCTAAAGAAAAAAAAAACTCCCAGATATTCATAGACGTTATGTGATGTAACCGACTATGGGGGTTAGACGGAAACGTCAAAGGGGTCTGCATAGGTGTTAGGAAATAAACTTAGAATAACATAAGTAGCCTTTCATCACAATGCGTTGCTTATCTTAAAAGAGAGTACAGTGAAGGACAGAATAACGTTGCTGCATATACCATTTTCCGGAAGTAGTGTCACCGGGGTGCAGAAATACTCCTGCTTTGTCATAGCGGCGAATACAAACATGTCATTTTGCTGATAGTCGATAGAAGGGATTTTTAATTTTGCGACGTCGATTGGTAAACCCAGAAGTACAATATCAGGCGTGGAAGTTTACACAACACCCCGAAAACGGTAGGCGCGCACATGCGAAACGATGTATCTTCGACTTCCGGGAAAGTGGTCTATTATCCGTTTCGTCTGTGTCAACTGTGGTGGCGCTTTGCACATCGATTCCTACGGGTCACGTGAAATTCATGGATAGCATCGAAATGAAAAATGTTAGCAAATAAAAAACACAAAAATGTCCAGATAACATACACGCTCGTCTGCCATTCGTTGTATCAACTCACCCAATAGCAGTAGATATTCATCGCAGTGAACAGTAATAACATGACACTAGAGGGCGTAATTTATGAGAGGGGGTATTTTTAGATTACAATTACCGATAACCAGTAAATTACATCAGCAATGTACAGGCTGTGGAGGTAAAGGTATATTGGGTGTGGGTACTCACCTGGATTTGGGTGGGAGTGCTTTTGAAAGCTAGCCCCAAAATGACGACTTTGTGGACGCTTTTTTCAAAAAATTACCTTTTTTCGCCGGGAAATGGTCTGAATTGTACTACAATGGCTGAACATCTTGACATTTAGGGTCAAAAGCCCTGATCATAAATGTGGCGGGGTTCAAAATAGCGACTCATTCCCGATTTTGGGAGTAGCCAAGATCCCCATCCCATCCACCGGTGTACAAGTAGTTTAAACTTACCCAAAACCAGTAGATATTCATCACTAATAGCAGCCACAACATGACGTTGAATGTTGTGACGAATGGGGCAACAGGAAAGAAGAATCTGCCAGCTGCATATAACACTTTGAGTGGGTACCAATATAACCTTGCTAAGAACCTGATGTAATCAAAGCAAACAATTGTTATTAAATAAGAGAAGTTAAACTGGCAACACTTCCGTGTTCATAAATATATGTATTGTAGCATGGCAATGTATAATAGCGCAATTACGAGATCTTAGCGGAAAAAGGAACGAAAAAAGACTTGGTACCCATGCTGAAGTATATCTTTTCAAACAATCTTCTAAACACGTACTTATTTTTGTGAAATTATACCCCATTTTCATGTGCAGAAACTTAAACAGAGTACCCTATATACATACTAAAATCATACTGTTTCCAAGTTGAGGTAACATGAATTCATGGGAGATTCTTTTTTTCACACTTTATTTATATATTTTAAAATATTTGACCCTAAACACGGTATACGCGTATATGCGTCAAATAACTAAATAATACGCGCTTTTTTACTTCAGTTTGCGTACCATATTTTATTCAGAGGACCCCCCCCCCCTCCCGGCGACGGTGTTACTTCGCTGTAGCTTTTCCGTAATTTGTTGTAAATCCCAAGGACGTTTATTGTCCTAACAAAGCCCTTGAGAAGCTATTTATACCGCACGGCAATTTTTAATAAGTCTGTCGTTTTTTTCAGTTGTTAAAAGGCAGTGGTCGTGGTGGAGGGCGTGTTCAGATTTTGTGTAAACAAACAATGTACTTTACACACGTTGTGAACGTTGCTATGGCCCTGCGATTTAACTCATCTGTCTGTCTAAATCGAATGACTTCATGAATAGTTAATCACATGGTGTGATATTTATTGACATCATTTGAAATAAACAGTACAATATTCTGGAGATCACGTGATTAGGGAATTTGTCACGTGCGTACAATGATTGAAGATCCACTGAACATGGACTGAAACAGGGCAAATATAAACGTTTTGTCACGTTTGCCAATGGTGGCGCTTTACTCTATTAATCCATGGCAGATTCACTTACTGGGGCATCATCAACTCCCCCGTCCAACCCCCACACACATACGCACGTACTGTATTGATTAACATTCATATGTCCAGTTCTTTGCAACCCCCTTTCTCAATGGCGACGACAGAACAAACACACTGGGTCATCGTAGGTCACGATGGCATTTACCAGGGTGCTACAGTTTTCAGCTGAGTGAAAAACGGATCAAATGCGGACAATGTATACACGCGATGGGATGGGAATTCTTTCACATACACACGTGTAAATCTTGCGACAGCAGATGAGAATGTCTGAAACAAACAGGTCCACGAACTACTGGTCATAAAATCGAGAACGCATTCCACCTCTTCTCTTCACCGAGTCTAGACTAATTACTGCCGTTGGAGGCGTGGTCGATCTAGAATCACTTTCTGCCACAGGCGACATTTTAACCTTCAATCCAAACCAATTCTGGGGGGGGGGGGGTTCAAGTACACTACTTCACTCACAATTTTGCATACATAAAAGAAAAACATTTCAACTAGCCAGAATTCAACAAATGTTGTAAATTGTCGAAGATTGTTATTATATTTCGATATTTAGTTCATAATATTCATAAAATTTTTGTTTTTAAATTTAACAAAAAAAAGGAATGAAAAAAATGTGAGGGCGCACACGACAACAAGAAACATGCATATTTATTTCTGGACGAAAGCGGCCTACATCACTATCAAACGTAAATTTCAAAATAATGTTTTGGCAGCAAACGTTATCAGTATTCATTTGAAAACGCTAATGCGCATGTCTCTTGCCATTAAAACGGTACACATCCTGGTACTTTCTGTGGGAACAAAATCGTTAAAATCAGACCATATCTACAAGCGGCCGCCAAGATCTCGTTGAGAGTGAGAGAGCGCCGCGCGACTTCAGTTTTTGCCTTCATGAAATAGCGTTTTATGTTTTACCGCCAACACCTTTAATTTTTTGCTACGTACGGTTTGACGAGCTCGATGGGAAAATACTCCCCTACGAGCCCGTGCGAGATTCTACCGAGAAATCGCGTATTTTACCTCGGTAAAATGCATAGATCTGATTGGAAGCGTCTTTATATCACTGCTGTGTTTCTTTAGTGTAGTATTATTGTAAAAATGGGTAACCAAATTAATAAATTGAATTGATCTAACTATTTTTTTTTTGGCTCTCAAGTAACAGATTGTAGAATGCCAGCCCAATCTCTGGCTGGGCAATTTTACACGACATGGAAGGGAAGCGAGTCACGTTGTTGTCTCGGTCTCACCGAGGTCTTAGCGGTCATTTGCAAATATGGTCTAGTGAGAACTTAACTTCTAAATTTGTTCCTCTGAAATTGCAAGCACTCTTTTTTTTTAAATGAATCTTTAATGAGGAAATAAACTTACCAAGAAATGACGAATCCAGCAAAAAATAAGTTTGCAAACATTTCATTCAAATTGTGAACTTGTCCATTTCTTTCTTTAGTCTGTACAAATATCCTGGCATTTTCTAAGAATACGTCACAGATATCGTGACAAAATATGACCAGCACACCGATCTTATAGTATCTGTAGATAAAACATATTCACAGGTTTACAGGTTTCTGTGGGACATGGTATTTTTGTCCCAGTACGTCGTCAGATCTTACACAATCCGCCATATGCAAAAAAGCGTCACAGTCATCATGAAGCGCGCATTAAAATGTCAAGTAATGTAATTTACACGCGTTGTATACGTCACGCGGGTCTCATATCGAACAAGGCGCGGCGCGAAGCTTTCACACTATACTACCGCGGCTCAAATCATGTCAGAAAGAAACGAACTTACCGAACTGCGTAGGAAAACACGAGCAGGTTTATCGTGAGAATATGATGTGCAATCATAAGATAAAAATCACTTTTAATGGCGTCGACGTAAATGGTTGCGTAGATGGAATGTACATAGAAACCACACTGGTAGACGTAGAGTATGTAAATATCCAATGGTACTTCCATTCCATTGGACCAATCTGAATGAAGTAAACAAGAAAATGCAAATGAGTAGGTAAATATCTAAGGGTACTTCTATTCCATTGGTTCAATCAGAATATGCAAATAAGTATATAAATATCTAAGAAAAAATACTTCCATGTCATTGGACAATCGATATGAAACAAACAACAATAATGAAATCAGTAGTTAAACCCCGAAAGGTATTTCCAAGCCCCTGCACTAATTTGGGATGGGGAATAATTGCAAAATATAAGGAGGTCATTATTTCGGTAAGAGTTCTTTAACTCCAATCCTAACCCTGCCCCTCCAGTGCCCTTGTATATACCCCTCTCCGGGTCACTTGTAGTAAATTGGAGGGGCATATTGAATTACATTAGGGGCTGGAATGTTAGGGTTAGGGTTCAGAATCTCTTTCCATTTTGTTGGTGTTTTACTTGTGTTATCTTTTTTCCGCACCACATTACACAAATGAAGGTCATGTGACCAGTGTGAAATTTGATTACAGGACTTATGTGTGTGTATCATTTTTCCTATGTGTTCTCGCCACAGCTTTTTCAGGTGCAACGTAAAATCTGGCGCACATGAGAGCTATCAGCTCAGGTAACATTCATTCGTAGTTGTTTCTTAACATATATATTTAAATATATAATTTAATTGGTTAAATATGTATATACATTTGATATAAGAATGAATGCGCGAAAAAAAGCGGCTGCTATGTTATCCAATCAAAATAATGCTCTCAAAATGACCTAGGCTACTACTTTAAATTGCTTACAAACCTCCAAATACTGACGCCGGGTCTTGGAACATCGTGTGTCTCTCACTGAATAATATAGAAGTAGTGTAAATCCACGACAGAGTGTACCACGTAGATTTGAAGAAACTCTCCGGCGCCTTGGCAAAGCATTCCTCGTCATCCAACTTCAAACCTTGTAAAAACGGCTGCGATAAATAAAGGTTAAAACGATACAGTAAGAATCGGAGAATTTATTGATTATGAAATCGTCAACAAGTATAATATCGGTTCTATATAAAGAGGATCCCAAAGCTGAGGCGGCGACACGAAATTTTGCTCACCGGCCTCTCGTCAAAATTGCGACTCTACTAGGGGGTCCTGGCCCATGCTCACTCTTAAACAATTTGAAATCTAGACCCTCTGAAACGCTATTTCCTGCATTTTGAGGAGCAAATTTTGCTGACACAAAAGGCGCAAAACATCGAGTTACAATTTGGGCGTGGTTTCGCAAAAGTGGGCGTGGTTTCTAAAATTTGTGTTACCCAATGTTTTCGTAACTCGAGGTTTGTAATGGCTCTCTTTCTCTCACTCCTGACTTTTTCTGTCTTAGATGCTAATGCAAATGGATGTGTAAAAACTACTAGTAGTTTTCCAAACCTAGTACTTTGTGGAAGGCAGGGAAAACTGACACTCGGATTTATACTGCGAAATCACATAACAGACTGCACGTGGAGTCGAAACCAAAACCCCGTCCCCGATGCCAGGCGAACACTCTACTGACTGTACCACCGACCAAAAAATACCATTACCATTATTTAGTCCCTCCAAGTCATGTGACCACAAAATGACGGACCTAATGCTGCAGACACTGGAACCCGGTAGAGGTGATTGACCTTAAGTAACATTTATAACTGAATACTATAAGCTGCAATGTAGGCTTTCTTGTGATAATCACCACGTGCCACAAAAAGGCCGAGGTTTACGACAATGTGTAAACCCTGGGAAGGCTTGATTTTAAAAATCTACCGAAAATACCATTGTGGTGTGATGCCTACAATTCATACCATCCTACTGTTAGGATCGGAGTTCAATGACTCCAACGTTTTATTGTTTTAGCATACAATGCATTGTTGCGCCAAGTTCAAGGCTGTGGACGTTGGTCACCGTAATCTCCGAATACCTTAGAAACTATGCACCTATTTGTATGTTGACCGGGAAGGCGAACGGGGCAATCCCATTTGTCTTGCTCAACCACGCACACTTGTTACAGTAAAATAAACATTTCAAACCTGTGTATAGCGACCACTGACGGTACTCTATAGACGGGTGGTCTTTATATAGAGGTTTATATGGTAATAATTTCCCAGTTTAAAGGTCAATCTATCCTGAGATATTTGAAAATCATGATTTTTTTAATAGAAACATACTTGTTTGTCTCGATTAAATTAAAATTGTCAGTGTATAGACTAGTATGAAAAACTATACTGATTCACACCAGTGCAAAAATGGCGGTCATTGGTCACATTAAAGAGGTGGCCGTACATGTCACTTTATATGTACTTCGCATAGAGCCTTACAAGGTGGTCACTATAGATAGGTTGTTCTTTATATAAAATACAGGTCTGACTATATATAAAAAAAGCATGTCAAACACCGACAAAATGGGAAGTCATAAGTTGTATTGTGTTGTACAATTGTACATCCGCAGAAGTGAACATTTCACAAACACCTTCCTGCAGGAAGTATTTAAACAATAACAAAAATCCATGAGTGAAGATTCATTTTGCTGTCAGCCTCGGGCTGTTGGAAAGCCTCCATCACCACCACCACCACCCCTACCACCACCCCACCCCCACCAACTGAATAGAATTACTTTGCTTCCTACTTTGACACGCGCCAGTTCCGTTGACCAATCAGGTTAAAGGTCCCGATGATGTCAACGTCGTATCCCCTGATAGTCAGCAGTCCGTTTCAGAAAAAAAAAACGACACTCTTGCCATCAGCTGTTTCTGTGTCCGAAACTAATCGCAAAAATATAATTTATTTTGCTACTCTTCAAATATCATCTTTGATTGTAGCTGTGGTTTGGGGAGGGATAACGAAGTGTAATACGGAACAGCAGTGGCATGGCGTGATCATGCGAGTCGTGAAACAAATATAAAACGTTCCTCGATACTGCGTTGAGTCAGTCTTACTTCATCAAAATTGGCCATCAAAGGTGCATAGCATATTATTAAGCGTGGAAATACCTGCAAAACTTTCGCGTTTGTCGAATCCCAATCAATAATTTGACGCCACTACGACGCAAGAACTTTTGTTTGTGCTGTTTTTACGATCGGGTTCCTGTATCATGCGGGGTCTCGCTGGGAACTGGAAATGGTCTGTTCACTGCATCGCCCGCTCTGCGCGGTTCCGTAGCCACTCATTTCACGATGACGTAATCCGACAAAACATCGCCATTCTATTGACCAAATTGTAGTCAAAGTCGCGTCAGTCTTTATACTAGATGCCGTCTCTTATTGTGAGACTTTGGAAAGTTCCCAATGTAATACACTGTAGCCTCGCTATAACGAACTCTTTGGGAGACATACAATTAGTCTGTTATAGTGAAATGTTCACTATAATGAAGTACATAATACATTGGGTTTGTTGTGAGAGGGAGACACGCTATGTGTTCATTATATCAGGAAGTTCATTATAACGGTGTTCATTATACTGAGGTTACAGTGTATACTGAAGTCATAGAGATAGCCAATCAGCGATGACACATAATTCTGTGACGTCTACGTACGTAACGATTCACCAGACCAATCATGAGTGCACTGGGCGCCGTTTGTGCATTCATATATACATGTATAGCGGTTTTTTATGGATTTAAAAAAGTCCCCAAATTACTTATAAATAACTAATGCAATCATGTTAACTCATGATTTCTATATAATTGATTTGAAATATCATTATTTTTTATTAATAATTAAAAATCGCAGAATTGTTTACATATATTAAGCTTAAATCTATAAAAACATGTCATATAAATAAATGCACAAACGGCATCCATACTCTAAGTGACTGGAATTCGGGTTAGTCAGCCGTGTGTGGAATTTGTTATCTACTAAAAATAGCAGTTATCAGTGGCGAGACAGATAAAAATGTTTACATTTGATTGACAAAAGTCGCCCTCGATACGCACGACTATGATCGCAGCCGCCACGTTATAGCCATATACAGTGCTTGCCATCATAGAACCTGCCAAGTATAATTTGAAATATTTGATGGCTTTCAAATTAGCGAATTGCGGGCATTTGTTTGAGAATTAAACAGATGTTCCGAATCATTCTCCGAGCATCGACTGTGAAACTGTGATTCCGGATTATGGATCCTCAACCACGCCACCAACGGCAGTAAAGAGTCGAGGCTCGGGGTATTGATTTGAATGTCTTCAGTCAACAGCAATGGGAGACGATTTTTTTTCCAATCCGCACACAGTCTGACTTTCAATCTAAAGAGTCAGCACAAGTACAATATAATGCCAAACCAAAATTCATAAAACTATTTTACATTAATCTCCCGGGATCCCGTAAGAGGGGAAACTTTAAAGGGCGGTGGTCGTCGCGCAGCGCGTGTTCTAACTTCTTGCAAACAATGTATTTTACACGCGTTGTATACGTCGCTATGAGTCCCATGTCGAACAGAACGCGGCGTGACGACCATCGCACGTTAATCCTAATTCCTAAAACTCCATGGGGCTGGTACATTACAGGGTGAATACATATCGAGGATGTACAGTGTCAGAAAACACGCTCATGAATCAAAGAATCGGACTTCGACCCGACACGGAATACTCATCCTTATTGATACTAACCTTATAGAGATAACACGTCAGTGTCGCTCTGAGCACGGTCCAAAATACGGCGAAAAGCAGGACAAGGCCCACATCGACCCAAGTGAAGTGACAATACGTTGTGAACTGCCCAAAATAGTCGAATTCTGTCGGTAGTCGCGACAGAGTGCTCCACTGCGCTGGTACCACCGATGTCACCATTTCGTAGTAGCCGGGCATTGCTAAGAACACCGATTCCCGGCTCGCTATCGCCGATGTGTTCAGTCTGCTGTCGCCCATGTTCACTCGTTTAGACGGCTTCGACCAGTGTGGAGGAGAAAACCGGCGTCTGAGTGTAACTCCCAGATTGCTTTGCGTGCGATGTAACAAGTACACACGCTTCTCCTATATACTAGTACTCCCTCAATCGTTTTAGTCACGTGATTCATCACCTGAGCATCGTATTCGGCCACTGACTTTAGTTCCCGTTTTAATTCGGATTGAGGCAGAGTAAAAAATATAAAACACACAAATCGGCGGTTTAACGCTGAGGTCAGAGTTGAAAAAAGCTAAATTAATAACATTCATATCATCAAGCCACTTGCCCAGAAATGGCGATCATATTCGAAACCAGAAAATTCACCGGATCGGGAGACATATGCAGGTCTCGGTTAGCAAATCAACACTCAATGCATAGACGTTTTGTGACAATAAAATGTAGGCAGTTTAATGTGCATTCAGAACGCCCCCAAAATTCCATATCCGGTTGGTTGCCGATATTCGAAAAAAAAGCCCCTCTGTTCTAATTGAGGGGGATTCTCCCGAAATCTTTATTGCGGAGATTTGTCAAAATTAAGCACTGCCGTTGATACTAACAGGGAGAATGCCATAAACTCCATTTCGAAGAAAATCGCCTTGGTGTATACGATTTTTATCAGATCGCGTCTTTGTGTCAAATACATCACATTCCTGTGCGTACATCACAGACACTGTCTGACGAAAATAATGTAAATGATTAAATTATTTGGTCTAAAATTAAATGAGTATAGATAAATACACAAAACTGTTGAAATGTCATTTGAAATGTTATAACAGTCTGAGTTCAGATCGATACCGGGGTCAAATGGGGTCTGGTCGGGTCAGATGGGGTCGGGTCGCAAAACAGAGTACAGAGTACAGAGTACAAACATAGTCTAAACAGTCACTATATTATTATTGATATGTGGTTACAATCACACTCAAATGTCGTTTAATTTAGTGAGTTTCTATTTTGACGACTACTATCAATGTTGGCAAGCGATGATAACAACACATGCTAAGAACACAAAGGCTCATGGGTAGACAACAACTTGTATTTACATCGTGACCGTAAACTAATCTTTTAAATTCTTCTTTGACAGTTTCCCTTAGATTAGATACGACGCATTGCCATCGACGTCCAAACGTCCAAACTCATGCCCACAAGACCGACATAGACCAAGATGTGACATTACTTTGAAAATACTTTCAAAATAATAGAAATTGGTGGGTTGTTCCGTGAAGGCGTCCAACGAAAGCGGGGAATAGACTTCAGCTTTGTGTACTATACTAACAAGTATTGTATTGTATTGTAATGGGTTGAAAATTGTGTTTGGACATGTATTGTTCAAGTTGGTCGAAAACTGGCTACGGCCTCCATCTAGTGCCGACCCATCAGACACGTAGTGGGGTTACTGATTTGTCTGCTCTGGTATAGTCTATTGTCTGGAGGCAATAGGTCATAAAACGAAGGACGATTGACGTCCAATCTACCAAAACAAAACAATTGCGTCATTTTGTATAACAATGAATTGCAATTTCTGTCTGCTCGTGAACAGAGTGAAATCCAACATGGTGGCCGAGTATGTGTCACAGGGTGACGTCACGTCAACTCATCTCGATACCTGCCACTGAAAAACTTTTGCAGCAATTCCAAGGTATTACTCGAATGAGGAAATACACGAACACAAAATAAGTTGCAACAGATAATTATTGTTATTCGTGAATGGCCGCCAAGATATCGTTGAGAACGAGAGCGAGAGATCCGTCACCAGAAACTGATTCTGGACCCTCAACCACGCCACCAGCGGCAGAAATCATTCGAGGCTTGGAGAATGCAGACCTATGAAACCGTGGTATTTGGAACAGTAGACGCTATGACATTCACATTGTTGTCTCGCTCTCTACGAGATCTCGGCGGCTATTTGCGGTGTTCCGCTGGTCTGGACACGACAGGTATTAAACGCGCATTGATCGTATTCGCACTTTTCATTCGTAGTACAGTCAAAATCTGATTCTGTATTCAACGACACAAATACAAAAAATATTTTTGGCCTGAACTATTTTATTATTTCTACGGACGTTGAAAAAGATACGTTTTAAATTTGGTCATACAATTGTATACTAGTACTTTGTGAGTTCGTCATCATAGTCTCCGATTTACCCGTTCTAAGTCATCTAGCGTTACAGGGCCGACTGAGAACGAGTAAATTGAACAAAAAGTACCGCAGAATAGCGCAAACTACCGCATCACATTCGCCCAGACATCCCATTGATCGCGTATTAATACATTAAATCGGGGGAGTCGTCACCCGCGCACGCGTCAGATGGCCATAACGTGTCATTGTTTACAAACAGGCGTCTGACCCATGAACCTTTGCGTTTTTAGTGTGTGTTGTTATCGTTGCCTGGGACTCAATTTCCGCGCGTGCGCAGGTGACGACCCTCCCGCTTTAATATTTTATCGAGACAATTGCATAACTTGAATTGAATGTCTTGATAAAAAAAAATTCCAAGTGTTAAATGTTACACAAACTTCGAGCTATGAGCACATACTTTAATAAAGTGTTTTTACAAGATATCCTCGTGATACCGCGCCATTCCACTCGTGATCTTTCCATTTTAATGCGTCGAATTAAGTCAAAATACAAAGATCATTTTCACTCGTAAATACTCCCCAATTGGTCTGAATCATGTGTTTTTGCTTAAAGGGCGGTAGTCGTCGCGCCGCGCATGTGCAACATTTGTATTGATAAACATTGATTTTTGCATAATATAATGCGCCTTTCTAATGAAATCACTAGTACGAGTTTTGCCCTGGGCGCCACTTGCACTAGTTACCGCCGGCGACTTCTTTTCAATACATTCCAAACACTTAAAAAAATACCTAGTTGGTGTGCGCAACAGTCAAAGTCGCCATCTTTGTTTATATGAGACCCATATCTCGCGCATGCGCGGCGTGACGTACCGCCTTTTAATTTAATGCCATTAATTCAGACAGAGGTGTTTATGTACTGGAAGGAAATGTATGTGAAAAGGCAAGAATAGTTATTAGAATACAGTCGAAATTTGATGACAACAAAATAATAAAATTGAATGCATCCGACAAACATTAATAGGGCATTCAGACGGACCGGTAGATTCCCCTTCATGACCGCCATCTTTGTTTATATCAGAATAAATATGCGTAGATTTGTTGGCACCCGATTCGTACATTGTCACGGCAACCAGCAAAGCAAGGAATATTCCCACGCTTTGTATTTGAGTTCGAGGAGTTGTAGGACGGAGTATAAGGCAGCCCAGTTGTTATTGGTTCTTTTCCTTGTAGTGGTTTTTCACTCGATTTGGCTCGTTGCAGTTTTTTTCTCTCGTATCTTTCAGATGTTTCATCTGCCCAGTAAGTAAACGAAGCAGCACCTTTAGGACGATCTAGACAGTGGCAAGACAAGAAGAACATGTGGTCAGAAAATATAATTCGGGGTACCACAACTTCATTCGCTTGGTGTTTTTTCTTTTACAACTCAAATTGAAACGAGAGGGGACTAAATAGGATTTCATAAAGGCGTGAAATATAAATAATCAGCCTCTCGGATGATGGATAGATCCGCTGTTAGCAATGTACATTTTAAATAAAGAATTGAAGATATCAAAATGAACGAATCTGAGAGAGGTTCACATGTAGTACATACATATAATATCAAATTGAATTGACCATTTTCCGTTCACTGCGTTCAACTGTTTTTGCGTTCGATTTCGTTCGATATTGCTATTTTGTTTGCAAAACAGTGAGTTACTAGTATACAGTTGTATTTGCAACACTGCTGGTTCGGTTGTTTTATTGTTCACCGTGAAATTGATCAAAATATGAACTTACCCAGAACCAGTAGACGTTCATAAGAAGTAATATCCACAACATGACGTTGAACGTGGTGACAAAAGGCATCGAAGGGAGGTAGAATTTACCAGCTGCATACAGCACTTTAAGAGGATACCAGTATAACCTGGCTATAACCCTAGAAAACATTTCACACGGTAATGCATTCATCCCATAGATTACGCCCTCAAGGGACGAGATGTCAAAATGACGTACATGTTCCAAAGCAGACTGGCAAACTCGGGACTTCTTTTTTGTTTTACAAAAAATAATTGTCAATTTAGCCTTTTAGTGATCACGAAAACTAACGATTTTGTTCTCGGTCACGTTAGTTTTCAGGATCACGCAAAAAAATAGTTATTTCTTTTTGTAAAACAAAAAAAAAAGTCCCGACTTTGCCAGTCTAAGGCGACGATTCTGTGTAGTATTTGGCTGTTTAAAAAATATTGAATCTCTCAAACAAATACATTATCGACGAGTGACTACAAATTGAAATACTTATAATATTGACGATATCATGAATGGCATCCGTGCCACCCTTAGACCACTTTACCGGAAGTCCAAGATACCGTGCGTGCGCATACCGGAAATAACGTGAAAGTGATGTAAATTGACGACATGAACGGCCTTCGTTTCATTTTCCAGAAAGAAGGCTGCCATTGTCAGAGAGGCAAAATACTAGCATGTCAGTCTGCTGATATTTTCTAAAATAAAATGTTTGATCTTTGTGACATTCATTGGTGCATCTACAAGCACAATATCACGTGTGCATTTTTACGTTGCACTCCATATCCGGTATGCGCGCGCAGAAACGTTTCTTCGACTTTCGGGTAGTGGTATATTTACGTACTGGAAGGATAATTTGTGATTTAAAGATAAATGTTCATGAACACAGTGAAATTATTCAGTTATATAGACTTACCATGAAGTTACAAACCCAGCAAAGAAAATATTTGCTATGAATTCATTTGTATTGTAAACTTTTCCATTCCTAGTTTTGGTATGTAAAAATATCCTAGCACTCTCTACGAAAATGTCACATACATCGTGACAAAATAGGACCAGGACGCCGATTTTGTGATATCTAAAACAAAAAGAAAATTGAAATAAACCATTGTAGCATTTTCTGAAGCACGTGACATTCTGTCAGGTGACGTCAGCAAATTAGAGGTTCGTTCGAAGAGCGCTTGAGAAAGATCGTTTACTAATATATTAATTCAGACGACTTAGTACGTCAGTAATACGAAAATGGCTATGAATACGACAAGATGGCGGATGTGATGATATACTCAGGTAAATATCAAGTGATGCTGACACGCGGAAATGATATGCGATAGATTAATTAATGAATATACATATATTGTTCTCTTCATTTGCATGCAAACAAAGCTACCAAAGTTAATGAGCTGCTTGCGTTAACGCAAAGCTAATCTGCATTAACGAGGCGTTGGCTCGGTTCTAACGCAATCTTAACATGGCGTTAACGTAAGTCAACGCGTTAGGTAAGCAATAGACTGGCGCAGTGGAGCGATTAAGTTGTTGTTGTAGTTTAAATAAGATAAAAAAATCATATCGATTTTTTTCCATTGCCGGGGCATTTTACAATGAAAAATTGCCTTGAGGTTTGCCGAGATTTACGCCAGATTGCATCTAAATTCCAAAACTTTTTCCTGGGAAGGCCCCGGACCCTCCCACGCGGCTACGCGCCTTCTGCGCTCGCATTTGGCGGGCTTTGTCAGCCAGGCTAAATTTTCAACCCGTGGAGAACATTGGGTATGCATTGAAGTTAAATAAATTGAAATGTTGATTGGTGTTAAACGCCTGTTTCTTGTTTTAGGACTTGTAACTGTCCCTTATACGACTGTTGTCTTAAGACCTACGATTGGGTATATTGTTCCAACTCTTTCATAGGCAGTGTGTTGCAATAAACACGTCAAGCGTCGTGCCTTTCATATACTAATACAGATTTATTCCCATTCGGTAGATTTTTTTTTTTTTTAAATGATTAGTTTTTTTATAAGAGCGAATATACTGTGTGTAAAATGCTACGAAACTCTGACACCTAACAGTCAGACCGATCAGGGAGCAGCTTGCTAGACAGTTTCGGTAAATCGAACCCTGCTTCACAGCAAAGTTTTGTCATGAAATTGTTATTTCGGCGTCGTTATTTTGTTGTCTTTCGGCTTTGTTAATACGAAATGTGTATATATAGCGGACCGATTATATTACGAGGTTATTATGAAAATACCGCAAAAGTATGCACGTAGGCAGTACATTGATCGTATTGGTGATCTTATGAGATGGCATATGGGCCACTATGCAGAAACACTATGTGACAAACGTTCATACAGCGTAAAACGTTTTTCGTGACGATTTATTTCACAAGTTTAGCGCAAAGTATGCACTCAGGCAGTACCGGATCGCATAAACCTCCATTACGCGTCGGTCGATGTGATCGCTGTACTGCACTATTCTAGTGACAGTATCATGATGTCCCATTCATACTCCGGGTTAGTACGTAAATCAATGATGCACTGTGCAACATATGCCGACTTCTCAACGTGTTGGACCTATTAGTTTCATTGAATATTTCTGTGAATGTAATATTTCTGTGAATATTTTGCGCGAATGTAAATGCTACGCCAATTCTCATGCGTATGCAACTCGTGGGTATGTTCTATTTAGCTGCGTACATGCGCTTGCCAATCAAATATTATGAGGTTATTACGAGGATACCTCAAACTATGCACGAAGACAATACGGCGAGGGTATTGACCGACGCGCTGCGGAGGTCGATGCGACGGCGTAATATCTGAGTGCATACTTCGAGGTATTCTCGTAATAACCTTATTATTATAAATCTTCTCCTTCCAAGGATACATAATGGGAATGCCAAAATCCAAAAATGTTTGAACAGGATCAGCGAACTTCTTTTTGTGGAGTCCGATCACGGTCAAACCCTGGTGGCAGCCTTGTTTGTTTTTATTATTAGAGGACGTTTACGCGTGTAACCATTCCATATTTGGAATTTGCATTTCCTAATACGGTAGGATGGAAATACCCCGTAAAATACCGGCACGGTGTAACTTATAGCGTTACGGTGACAGATGTATAATAATATTCTTTATGCCAAATGCGAAAAATTGAATACAATATTGTGAATAAAAGACCCGGGTGGTCTGCACTATATGAAACACATGATCAAACGTGATCGAAACCACATGGATCCCCTGGTCGACTACGTGACTCCGCACTGTTTGGACTACGTAGAGATAGATTGTGAATAGGTCCAGCACACTTACCGTACTGCGTAGGAAAATGTAAGCAAGCCTATCGTGAGAATATGATGTGCTATCATGAGATAAAAATCACTTTTGATTGAGTCGACGTAAATGGTTGCGTAGATGGAGTGTACATAGAAACCACACTGGTAGACGTAGAGTATGTAAATATCCAAGGGTATTTCCATTCCATTGGACCAATCTGTGTGAAGCAAATAGCAATTTGCAAATGAGTATGTAAATATTCAAAGATATTTGCATATCATTGGACCAATCTGTATAAAGCAAATGACAATATGTAAATGAGTATGTACATATTCAAAGATATTTGCCTATCATTGGACCAATCTGTATGAAGCAAATAGCAATATGCAAATGGTACGTAAATAACCGTTTCGTTTCTATGATATCATCACTTGTGTCTGTATTCTGCTTAAATTTTGCCCGGTAGATGTCCACCGTTGATTGGCTGAGTGCCATGCGCGTAATTCGGTAGGCGTTCTCCATGCTTGCATATAATTAGCAGCCGCTAATTTTTGACCAATGGCTGAGAGCCATACGTTCTAACTCTACATGCAATAACACACGTTTCCATAGTTTGTTCATTGCCGTCGGACGGTTTCTTAAAAAATATTAACATTCTTTCCTCTGTAAACACTTGTCACAGTGCATATTGGTCGGTAGCTATATCAAATTTCGTGTATATATATATATATATTACATGAAATAACTTCATGGCAACGTAAGCATAATAGTTTTATTTCAACACCGAAATGGCGAATTACTTGAACGCATAACTGCACGAGACGCTTAAAATGCAACTATATTCAGCAAACTGTATTTGGTTGATTTGTCGTTTAATATAGTAAAGGAGAAAACAAACCTGCGAATACAGATGCCGGGTCTTGGAACATCGTTTGTCTCTCACTGAATACTATAGAAGTAGTGTAAATCCACGACAGAGTGTACCACATCGATTTGAAGAAACTTTCCGATGCCTTGGTAAAGCTTTCTTTGTCAGCCAACTTTAAACTTTGTAAAAAGGGCTGCGATAAATGAAAAAAAAAAAAAAAAGGAATCAAGATACAAGCGCAGTAATGAAGACTGGGTACAGAAAGTCTGAATTACCCAAAATATCACACAGATTCACCCACACGTCACATCGGCATTCGCATTACAGCGCACTAAAATGGGAAGATAAAACAAACGCCTTTCATGTAAAACGCGCCCACTAGTGACGAAGCGATTTCCTGACGTAACAGCGTGACACGAAAACCGTGTTGACCTTTTTATCAACGAAGATTGTGTTTTTGAGAGATTTTACTTTATTTTTAGATGAACGTCAACTACACAACCAAACGCAATTGCCGATTTGAAGGACCTTGCTTGTATGCATGTACGTCATTCTGACGTCACAGTAGCGCTTCGCCATAGAGGGCGCGATTTATAAGATTTATGTTGGATGCACCAGGTTTTTGTCTGTGATTTTCTAGTCGATAAATAACATGTTATTACATTTACTGGATACTATGCATATTAAATTATGTATGCAGCGGAAACAAAACTATTCTGATCAAATATATAATTACAGAGAAATTAAAGGGACTCGTACACTAGTAAACAAAGACGGCGACTTTGACTGTTGTGCAGACCAACGAGTACAAACTGAGATGTTAACAAGCTTTAATTATATAATTTTTGTTGGCGATTGGTATCGTCGAAGGCAGTAATTAGTACACCTCAAGCCCGGTTCAAAACTCATACTTTTCTCCTAATTTCCATTAGAAGAGCGCATTGAATTGTCGGAAAATCAATGTTTGCCAACACAAGTATCGCACATGCGCGGCGCGACGACGACCGCCCTTTAACCAACACACCTTTGCCTATAAATATCGCCCTTCAGTGACGAAATTCTTCTATGACGTAATGAAAGAAGAAAAAACAAATGTTTCATCACTAGAGGGCGCGGCTATATGGGTTTTGTGTATATGATGCCTGTGGCCTATTGGATCTATCTCGGGCATACACCTTAAAGCGTGGGAGTCGTCACCTGCGCATGCGTCAGATAGCCATAGCGTGTTATTGTTTACAAACAAGCGTCTACTCATGAGCCTTTGCGTTATTAGCGTGTGTTGTTATCGTCGCTTGGGACTCAATTCCCGCGCGTGCGCAGGTGACGACCCTCACGCTTTAAATAGTGAGAGTATGCAATATACAGTTGTAATAACATAATAACTACTTGCAAATATTTTGGACCGTGTTCAAGGGAGTGGGTTCAAGCACGTGTACTGTTGACTTTATAGTTAAGTATTTATTTGCCGTACTGCTACAGCCCCGTCGGCGAAGAGTGGATGTGACCGTACGCTTGAATAGAAGTATAGAACGAAAGACCATGGACTTTGGGAGTTTTACCGAGAGCCATTGTTGTGTGACTTCAATAGAAGGTCAAAGTTCGTGGTTTTCATTCCTACGAAAACACGCTATCAGTCAAAACATTGATTATTATTTTTTTTCTTTAGCTCCGTAGTTCAAACAATGAAGAGGGGGATAAAAGGTGACGTTCATTATATGGTTTGCACATGCCCAAAACGCCTTCATTGTAAAGATAATTTAACATAATTTAAATATAAACAAGTTTCAACACGTAGTTACTGGTTGCGGCGACTGCACCTTCAACGAGACTCAACATATAACACTCCTGCCGTGCGTTTATTTCTTTAATATGCTTTCTTTTGTGCGATTAATTGGCACAGAACAAAATAGTGTTCTCGGTAAGTTAAAAAAGTGTCAAGATCGCACAGAGGTTAACGTCACGTTTGAAATAAATGACTTCGAGCTGTACAGGTGAATTGCCACCTTGGTAGTGACCTCATTCTCAGGAACGACCCTCGTTCGAGACTAGTTTCAGACACGCCTATAAATCGTTCGGCGCGTCATGACTACTGCTTATATGTATTGCCATGCGCTGTTCGGTATATCGAGTCGTGTAATCAGGTACAATCCTAGACGCAACGTTTTCAATATATTCTATGATATAACGTCCAAATATACCCGATCTTTTCGTAAGCGAGAAAATCTTTAGGCTAACCTTAAACACATAGCACGTCAGACCGGCTCTCAAGACGGTCCAAAACACAGCAAAGAACGTAACAAGCCCAACATCGACCCAGGTACAGTGACAATATCTTGAAAACTGTCCAAAATAATCGAAATCAGTGGGTTGTTTCATGAAGGTATTCAACTGTACAGGAACAACGTTCGTCAGCAGTGTGTAATATCCCGGCATCGGCAACACCACGGCTACCTGTTCCCCCATTTTGGTGTCTTGTTCCGTCCACGGAACTTTCACTGGAAGTCGATGAAGGTCATACTCAGTGAATAAGAATCGACTATTGTAACTTCAGGGGTGGCAACGGCTCTATTTAGAGGGACAACTATAAAAATGATGTTTGTATGAGAATTAGTTTTCAAAATTGACAAGACGACGGTTTCATCTTTGTGACAATAAATTCTGTCAACTGTCACTTTTCGCCAACAGACAAAATTTGAGGCAAATTTCAGTTTTACTCCAAAAAAATTATTTTTTTTCCGAAGAAAATGCTAACTATAAATGTGAATATTTTGTGAATTTGTGATAAAAAGAGGGAACTGGTGGTGAAAAGTTAAGGGCAAACTTTTATTTATGTAAATTGCAAATAAAAATGGATTGGAAAATAATGATTTTCTAAAGCATGTGGCAACTATAGACATGAATTTGTCAGCCTCATTTTTATTTTACGCACTTCGTAGCCTAACCACGAGTAAACTCGGGCACTGATTGGTCTGTCTGTAAGGTGTTAGATAGCCAATCAGGCACAACCTTGAAAGTAGCTTCAGATTGTCTATTGTTTGGTCACGTACTTCAGGTTTAATACATTTAATGCGTCTGATGGCCATAGCTTTTGCTTTTTTAGCATGTGTTGTTATCGTTGCTTGGGACTCAATTCTCGCCCGTGCGCAGGTGACGACCCTCCCACTTTAAAAGACGTTCATTCCAGTGACTTACGCGAACTAATATATACATTTGAGTTTAAGGCCAGCAGTTGTTACGTCATGTCCTGTTTGATATCAATCTTTATGAACTGGATGCGGCTCGAGCTTGTGAGGTTACGTAAACCGCACGACCAAAGGCAGTAAAAACCGTATCCAGTCCAAAAAATGTTTTATTCGGGAGTGATAGTAACTTAAATGTGAAACATTAATTAGCTCAAAATATGTTGTTGTTTTTCATTTTCATTGCACACTTCAGTATGTAACCTAAACCTCGCACATTTTCTTTTTTTTTTTACAATTTTGGGTAGCAGTAAAGTGTGCCACATACGATAGAATGTGGAAATTGAATACTCTTAATCATAGAAAAAATAAAATACGCGTCACCACATTTGTTTTCAATTATTTTCGCTCGGATGAGAGGCAACAATTTTTTTTTTGTCATAAAAAATGTCATCGTGGAAAGCACTGTCTTCACCGACCCGTTCCAACTTACCCGTCACGAGCGTGCTCTTCATCAAGTCCTCTTGGTAGCCGGCCAATGAGAAGACGCGTAATGGATGTATGGGCCTGTATCCTCGGGGCAATCTCCTTCCCAGAGGCCTTTGCGCTTTACGCAATAGTGCCTCTGCCACATGCAGCCTTCAATTTTGTGGTCAATCACCTCACTACGCACGGCCATTTTTCCGCGGTTGTTTCATTTGAAACCGAATTACAAAAAGTGGGAAAAAACGAATGTGACATCCGAACTATTTATTAATGTCTGACTTCAGTAAACACGTAAATACGAACCATTTTATCGCGGACTATGTTTTGCAAGGTAATGTTACTGTAGTGAAATGGCGCACGTGATACTATAAAACTGGGAGAAAAAACGTTCTGTTAACGTATATATAGTTGGGAAAGAAACATTAAAGACTAATTTCACTGAAAGAAGTTTCCTAACATTTCCGTTTATCTTGTATTCTGGTGAATATTTCAATACTATTTCTGGCTTCAATGGGTTCGATTTTGCCGTCTAACAGCCATAGAACACACAGGTTCTAGTAAGTTTATAAAGTTAGTCATTTATAATAGAAAGTAATGCTTTGGCATGTAGAAAAGGATTGTACTTTTCTGACGCAAGTCACGTATATTTTAATCTAAATAATTGAACATTTTATTCGGAGTTAGGGCGTGAAACGTCTTATTAAAGTGATTAAAGTAACCAAGTGACTTACGCATAACTTTGTTCACCGACAGGGTCATGTAGTTCGAACATACTAGTATTCGAATATGCAAATGAGTTCTATGCAAAGTTGCTTTGTGCAGTGATGATAAGTAATACGTATCGAACAGTGCGGAGTTCGCCTCGAGGCGGAGCTACGTCACAGACGTTCCACGTTGCTAAGACGCGCACCACTGTACATACATTTCTATGGGCTCTAGGCGAGCTGCTGTGTGAACGCCGGTCGAGCCGGTGAAAATTCGAGAAAACAACACAAACTCAACTTTGAAGTAATCCTGAACATCCAAATTTATATATGTTACACACGTAGGGCTAATGTTGTTACACTGTTCAGGGGAGTCACAACAACCATCCCAAAGTTCCGGTTTTTGCGAGTTTTTGGCCTTAGTTGTCACCGCGAGGGTTGCCAGGCGGGGAAAATGCCCGGATGTCCGCCCCCGAGGATTGATTTTCTAAACTGATATATTCTCATATCAATATTTCCTGAAAAATATATATTGATTGAAAGCCCTTTTCACACTGGACATGGAATCGGCGTGAAAATATAAACACGGGGAGCTATTTTGGTAAAAATTAAATGAACAAAAAAAAAGACAAATGTAGCCTGTTGGACATATGCAACAAAACAGTTTGCAGACAGTTTGAACGCTTATTGAATTTTTACATCCTATAAAAACATCAAATCTTATTTTTCGTTCATATGAGTGTTTGCTTCTCATGATGACCCAACAATGGCAAATTAAAAAATGCGTAATAAACCTATCCAGTAATTAAAAATATTTGTTTTTTGCCTGACAGATAAGCGTGAGTGGCGCCCTCACCGGCCGAACGCCTTTGGAACACCGCGGAGGGTGCAAATCACGCGACCCCGTCAGGCTACACTGTCGTCTGAATCGAACTAAAGGCAGCCATACTGTCACGTGGTTTAGGCTGTTTAGCCAATCGCTAGCTTCGACTAAACTTGTTGTACAAACTGAGCTGGTATTTATAATCAAAAGGTTAAGAAACAATATGATAATCCTTTGTTACTGTGAATATTAGCGTTTTTATTTTATTTTTTTTTATTTTTTTTTTTTATTATTATTTTTGAAAACAAAATAGTGCTTTAATTCCAGCAATGTAGGGCTCTCTCATTCAAGTACTATGTAAACTCCGTGTTTTGTCAAGAATTATTTATCTCCCGCTGGCAGACTCCTAGTTGCTGTCAGAACAGAATGAATCATAAATTCCAGGTGTAACATTTGTAGGTATATTCAGACATCTATCCGGGCTACACACCCCATAGCAGACGATTTTATAGAGATACTCCATTTGAAATCGGAGGGGGGTAAGTTTTTTTTTTCTGAGATGAGGCATTTGTTGTTATACTAAAATATCTGAATTACTTTGAATAAAGCTGGAAATTATGTCCCTTAAAATAATTAAACAAATTAGGCACCAATGTTTTTGTAAGATATTTACATCAATCAAGGACATTCGGTAGACTGCGTTCCCACTGTTGTTTCAATCCCAAAACTTGTTTGTATTCAAAATTAATTATGACAATGCATATTCATATTGACACAAATTATGACGAAGGGAATACTATTATATAACAAAGGGTAAGGTCACCAGAGTTCAACTATGTTTTTTTTAATGGAGGAATTCCTAAACATTGAGCTCCTTGTCCTCAACCACCCGATCACTTTACAGTGCAGATATTGTCATTTTTCGAAGGAAAATGTCATTGAACACTCACTAACACGAACATTTCAAAAACAAATCTGGTTTTATTGAAGTCTTCTGAATGAACTACAACACTCTACATTGTTGGAAGTATTCCCATACCGTACAAGGTTGTCAGCTATCATACTTTATAACGTAAATACATAATGTACAAAACCCGTTCACCGCCATATTGTTTCCCCGCCAAAATGACAGTACACAATTTTGAAATTTGTTGCAACCTTTCGGCAAATTCATTGTTGATTTTGAACCTCCTCAGATAATTCGCATTTCTTTCAAATTTCAATGTAATATTTTAAGATTTGGGTTAATATTTCGGTTAAACAAGATGATGTTTTGTCGATGGATTCAATGACAGCTAAAATGATTAAATCATAAGAAACCAAAAATAATCTCTGGAAGACATACAACTATATAAAAAAAACAGATACCATAATGACGTCATAGTTAAATTTTAACGACATCAAATACAGCGTCACACGATTTGTTAAACTTATTTCACTTATTTTAAAAAATGTACAATATTCGTTTTTACTTTTTGAATGAAATATTGTAATACGTATACTGAGGTGGGTTTACATTTCTAAACAGAATCTCGTGAACAAATCTCACTTTGGAGTATTGCATTGTGGGTAACAAAATAATCACAAAATAATAACAAAATAACAAAATAATCACTAATTCATTTTTGCAAAAAACAAAATGTATATATCCTACCAACAATTACTTTAGTTTGAAAATTGGGAAATAAACTGCTTTTGGCTGATTTAATTGACAAACTACATTATTTCTAAAGCTATTTCTCACAGTTTCCCTGTGCACCTGATATGCTGTTTGATTACGTCAGCAACTTTTAGGCTCGTTCCAAGTTATTTCATGATTTACAATGTTATAAGACGTACTCGGACAAATATGTCGTCTGGCAATTATTCATTGGTCAGCAACCTGTAGGCTGGTTTGCAAGTTATTTCATGATTTGCAATGTCATATGACGTACTCGGACAAATATGTCGTCTGGCAATTATTCATTGGTCAGCAACCTGTAGGCTGGTTTGCAAGTTATTTCATGATTTGCAATGTCATATGACGTACTCGGACAAATATGTCGTCTGGCAATCATTCATTGGTCAGCAACCTGTAGGCTCGTTCCAAGTTATTTCGTGATTTACAATGTCATATGACGTACTCGGACAAATATGTCGTCTGGCAATCATTCATTGGTCAGCAAACTGTAGGCTCGTTCGCAAGTTATTTCATGATTTGCAATGTCATATGACGTACTCGGACAAATATGTCGTCTGGCAATTATTCATTTATCTGCTGTATAACATATAATAAAGCGGGAGTGTCGTCACCTGCGCACGCGTGGGAAGCGAC